GCACATAACAACAACAACAATCCAACAAAAGGAGCTCTGGTAGTGTAGTGCCTGAGGCACTTGACTGCTAACCAGAAGGCTGGTGGTTCAAACCCACCAGCCACTCCTTGGAAGGAAGGTTGAATAATCTACATCCGTAGCGATACCACCTTGGAAACCCAAGGAGGGGTCGCTATAAATCAGGTCTGACTCGACGGCACATAACAACAACAACAGTCCAAGAAAACATTTCCTTTTTATATTTATTTGATGAGTTCTGAATATGACAAGCACTGGAGTTTTATTTACTGTCATTTCTAAAAGAGTTAGTTTAAACAGAATTTCAGTGGCCTTTTGGCTCATTGCCCTGTACTGAGTCTGACTTGGGGCCTTGCCTGGACATCCTTGCTTTGCTGTGTTCAGGTAAGTGGGACACCAAGGATTAGTCAGCACGTAGAGGCCATGGAGTCCAAGGAAATTGTGAAGGATTTTGTCCTTTTGAGCTTTGTTTAACTGGGAACTAAGTGTTCTGGCATAATTTTCCTGAACAAGGAGAGTAGAGTGATTAATCATATTTTATATTTCATGGTACTTGAAATGATAAGTGTGTAAAGTTGGTTGGGTTAACTTGCCTGCAACTAATTAATCTTGATTTTCCAAGCCAGAGAAGGCAAAGTTTGTTTGGCCCTAGGGTGGTCTTTTTAGTTAAAAAGCTGTCTTAGTGTATGTGTCCGTGTGTGCGTGCATGCACGCGCGCCCGCGTGCACGTATTTGAGAGGGAGAGAGGCAGGGGTGGAGTAGGGGGGAGGCTCCTTTGCTCTTGGTATGATGCAGGTTTTTCTAAGAGGATTTATTAACCGTACACACTACAAAAATTGGTCTTATAGAACAATGAGCTGTGAATTAAGTTGTTCTTGGGCTTTCCATTTAAGTGGTAGTTGAATTCTCTCTTTAGAAAAACTGTTTCTTGGCAATCCTCAGACCTTTTCTGTTTTGTGTGTTCCCCTGTAGTTATTTTGATAGGGCTGTGGAAGAATGGAGACAGTTCCACTGTGACCTTAATGACCTCACGCAGTGGATCACGGAAGCTGAGCAGTTGCTGGTTGATTCCTGTGCTCCAGACGGCAGCCTGGATTTAGAGAAAGCCAGGATCCACCAGCGGGTGAGTGCACTGTAACAGGTGGGGGCCTGCTAAAGAGGCTGCATATTTAGCATGTGGCTTTCAAGACACATTTTTGGAAATAGGGACCAAATATGATAATTTTTCAGGAGTATATAGACAATTTGTAATTTTTGTTCTAGTTCGTTTCCAGTTTCAAAAGCTTTTAAGACAAATCAGTCATTTACCATTTTTAATCAGGATTTTACATAAAAATTTAAATAAAAATGCAGTCTTTACTGGCTAATGTGAAAAACAGTGTTATTTGTAAAATCTTATTCCCATGTCTATCTCAAGGGCAGATCTTTAAAATATGCATGTATGTCACCTTTGTTTCTATCCTCCAACCATAAGGTATCTCAGTTTTCATTGCAATGTTGATAATTATCATAAACGTAAATTATTCTCGAGCTTTAGTAGGGCAGCAGCTGCTCATGTAAGTCTAATTCCATCTTGGGAAAATATAACAGGAGAGCTAGGACAGTTTTTCTGATAACAATAGGTCTTTAAAATTAATGGTAGAGAGCAAACAAAATATCAACTACACCATTGATAACTATTTCCTTACTTATTACATCTTTAAAATATATTTTATGTAGGTTTTTGAGTAGTTAAAGAGGGTGCTTTTATTTTTGTCATAAACATGTTCATACATCTTTCTTATTTTTGGAGTTATACATAAATGTTTAAATCTGACCTTTAAAATATCCCTTTAATCCATTGATGTAAAAATTTGAGCAGTGAAGCAGTACCTTAGTAGAACGCACACTGTGGTTTACTAACACATGGTTT